GGAGCAGGAGCCCCACAGCGGGCCCGGGAGGCCCTGCAGGGCTCCCGTTGCTGCTCCCCCCGGTCTCCATCCAGGACCCCCCTCCACAGCCCCTGAGGCCAGGGCTGGCTCCGCCGCGGCCCCGGAGGGGACAGGAGCCCAGGCTCTCGCTAGACAAGTGATGAATCCTTCACCAGCCACCACGCGCGTTCAGGCGTGAGACCCACCACCAGGGAGAGGCAGGTTTTTGCAGGGCTGGGGCTGGGAGAGAGGTGCGCGTGGGTACAACGGCATCAAGGGGCTGGGGGCCCGAGAAAGCAGAGAGGAGAGGGGAACGAGCAGTCCCACTGTCTCCTCCGTGCCTTGCGTGCGCTGGCGTCACAGCTCAGCACGAAAGTGCTCGCTTGGACCTCGAGGGCGAAAACAGGGCTCCTGCAGGGGCAACGTGAGAAAGGAGGACACTGCATTACTGACACAGGGATTTCTACACGGATGCATGGACCAGCTGGGAAGCCCCTGCCTTCTCCGCCCTCCCAAGGTGGGAGCACTGGCTCCGTTTCCAGCCCTCAGGCAACGCCAGCTCGAGGGTGAGGTCCAGGGGGAGATCTTGCTCATGTTTGTTCCTTGGAAGGAGAAAGAGGAAACATGCACGCAGGTCCTGCCCCGCTTCCTCGGGCAGCGAGGAGGACGGGGTGCAGCGGCACATCAGTTCTTCAGGATGGTTTCGTAGGCCTGGTAGACGTAGGGGGCCACCTCCGGCGCTCGGCATTTCAGAGACAGCTGCGCAGAGAGAGGAGACATGGCCCCATGGCACCGCGCACGGCCCCGCCGGGGGCAACAGCCCCACCGGAGCCTCCAGCCCCGGGGAAGAGCCAGGTGAGCCCAAAAGCAGGAACCGAACCCCCTAAACGCCACTGTTTCCCCCTCCCGCCCAGCTGAGGGGCAGAGATGGTTGCATGCAGCACGGGCAGGAGCGGGGGGAGGCAGGCACAGGCACACACGCAGGCGCAGGCTTCATCCGCTGTGGGTTTGATTCATATCCTGCAATTTGCTTGCCTTTGGGGGAAGCAAAGCATATCTCCGCTTAAACTGGTACAACCCCCTGGGGAGTTATTTGCTCAACAAAGAGATTAAAATGTAACGACTCTTGGGTTTGAACTCAATTATTGTTCCTAAACCTGCAAGCCAAGAGGAAAAGGCTGCAGCATACCAGTGCTGAGGGCTGAATTTGGCTGCCAGGAGAAAGATCAGGTTCTGGGATAAGGATTTTCTGACGTTGTTCTCAGCCTAGGTGAAGCTGTATTTTGGGAGGGGCGGTGAAAAGGCCCTGACCCTCCTAAAAAGTCAGGTCCTGCAAAGCTCAGCTCTTGGCTCCGTCATACATCCCTGGCTCCAGGCCAGCCCTGCCAGGGTAGCCGCAGGGAGAGGCAAGACGGGCTAAAAGAAAAAAAAAAAAACAAAAACCAAAGCACTGTGAGGGCAGCCGGCAGGCAGG